AATAATTTTTCCTTTGTCAATCTTGGTCACAAACTGCATAAAGGTTTCTATGCATTTCAAGAAGTTCCCACACCTTCCCTTTCCCAATAGGGCATTAGACATCTTCATCTTTTTCAAACAAACAAACAAAAAATTCCAGTATTCCTGCTTTTTTTCTTTTTCTTTTTCTTTCTCACTCTCATTTTTCCAGGTCCTTTCTTCCTTTCTAGTTTCTTTATTTCCTCCCTCCTTTCCTTTTTCCTCCCTTTCATTAGCAAATTCAAGAGTTAGTCCATGATCCTTTTTTTTTTTTACTGTTGTGCTCTCTGAGGAGCATGAAATTTAAATGTATCATCAAAATTAAGAAATTTTATTTTGAAATGGATTATCAGCCTGTCAGTCCAAAGCCTAGGACAGAATGAAAGGAAGCTTGGAATCCCACCTAATTCCTTGTGTCTTTCCTTTCTGTGATAGCATAGCGGAAAGCAGTGGTTGTGGAGTGGAAACAAGGGAACAGAGGATATGAGTAAGTAAAGAAATAATCAGGGACTAACAGTTATTGCTTAAGATAAGTAGACAACACAAAGAAACAAGTAGTGACTAGGAAAAAATGCAATATAAAGGAAATATGAAGTATGAAGAATGAAGTGTACTAGGAGTTCCATTTGTTATAGATGAGTACTTAAATATATGTCACTGGCTCCAAAGAAAAGATGGATTTTTGAATGATTAAATGAACATTGTGACATTTTTTGTAGGTTTAAGAATATTCTCAATAAAGAAATTCTTCTGAATCTACATATATATTCAATATAAGGAACATTAATTTTCAGAATGACTAGAATATATGGCTACCTTAAAATGATGAAAAAATTGCACATTATTGGGACAACACACTAAACATATTGTTATAAAATCATGGTGCACATTGAAACCTCCTGAAAACTTCTTTTCCCAAAGTTACCAATGTTCTTTCTGAAATTAAGTATTTCTGTTTGAGAGAACTTAGAATTCTTTCTTAGGTAACTATTCATTTTTAGTGGATTTTAAATTTTTTATTGGTGTCTCAGTTATTTCTATCAAATAAAAAGTCACCATTATCTGTGTGGGCAACCATGCTTACAGTTTGACATTATAATCACCCTGATAGGTGAGCCCATGGCAGCATCTGAGCATTTTGACATCTGTGCTTATAAATTTGTAGATGCCAGCTCCTGGTGATGTCAGCCCAATACCTAACCAAATTCTATCATAAGAAAGCCAGATAATAACAACAATTAGAAATCAATTTCTGCCTCAAAGACTTTTTTTTAGATTAAATACAAGTATTTAATCTAAATACTGGGAGTGTACAAGAAATCTTAATTTTTGTTGTTTAATGAATATTTGCATGGTTTTGTTTTTTTTTTAAAGATATTTACATATAAAAAGTTCAGCCTTCATGTGTTACCACCTTTTTTTTGTAGGACTGGAGTTTGAACTCAGGGCCTTCAGCTTGCTAGGCAGGAACTCTACCACTTGAGCCATGGTTCCAGGTCATGCGGCAACCTTTGATAAGAACAAATCAGGAAGAATGATGCTTTGAGCTATCTACTTTTGCAGGCTTTAAGAAAGAGTTCAAATAACACCATAAAGGAGATTTTTTTGTTTATAATTTCTTACATGGAACACTTTTAAAAAGTAGTGAATAACTCTTCTTAATAAGGTCACCTGATCTCAACTGATACCACAGTTATTAAGGATGTTATGCTTTTGATTTCCCTCTGTAGTTAGTTCAGTACAAACTTGGCAGTATTAGAATCAGGACTTTATATACAATTTTAATCCAACTCCTTCCCTTCACAGATTAGCACTCTGAGACTCAGAGGGGTTGGTGATTTGCTCAGGGACACAGTTAGCTGAAAGCCAAGATTAAACACTTAGTTTATGATTTCCAAACAAGTGCACAGTTGTATTGTATATACTTCTTTAAGCAATGAGTTGTTAGCTATGGCATGAAAAGGTTGAATAAAATTTTGGATTACATTTCCATAAGTTAATAGTTACTCCCCACTTAAAAAATATCCAAGATAGCAAAACTTCAAAAATATGGACAAATGAGTAATTTTTAATTTATAACCCTATAATTATAAGTATTTTATTTTTTAAAGTATCACTCACTTCCTTATATAGCTATTTGAGTATAATATTTGAATTTTAGGATAAAGTAATGTATTTATTCAACACCTTCTGAAATTAATCTACGATATAAAAATCAGACAATTTGAAAAGTATCCTTTGAAATAGCTCCTAATGAAAGCTCAGACCTTGGAGATGGGATAGTGATATAGAGAAGTGTGAACAAGAGAACTCTGCAGTTCCTAAACAGAGGAACACAGCAAATTAAGCGCATAAGGAGTTTCATAAGACTTGGCATTGTGTTAAAGCAATTGCTACAATATGAATCATCTCACCTGATATCTCTGCCTCTTCTTTATCCCTCAGTAAGTGAATTCCTTCAGGAACAGATAAACCCCAGAGATAGTCTAGACTGCACGCTTGTGAGTTCAAGACCCTCTTCTCCCTGAAAGTGCCCTCTCAGTGAATTCAGTCTGACATTTACACCACTCAAACTTTTCTTGCAATTCTCTTGTAAGTGGTGTGCATATGGAGGACAAAGGTTACTTTAAAAATTCTAATAAAGAGATAAGGGCAAAATAGTTTCTGCTTGGTAGTAAGGGAGGTAGGGGGAGAGAGGGAGTGGGAGAAGGGACGGGGCAAGAGAAAGGGGGAGAAATCACCCAAACATTGTATGCACATATGAATAAAAGAAAAAAACTCTAATAATATCATCAGTTTCACTTAACCAGTTAGTCAATGTTAAAACTGCCTTCAAAAAACAACCAAAAACCTGGAAACTAAATCTTGTACAACTGCTTACCAAAACAATTTTGCCTTCAGCCTTTCAAACTGAATATACACTATTAGGTTTCTGGACATAAAATTCTGTTTATAAACTTTCCAAGTTTTGGATATATTAACTGCTGCTATAAGCTTCCAGTATTTTTTTTTCAACTTTAGCCTTTGGATCGACCATTAGTGTCTTGGGACTGTTTTGCAGATTTTATGCACATACTTGGTGTAATTTTTAGCATTTTGCTGAATCATGTTTGCTGATACTCTAAACAACTGTTTAACTTTATCTCTAGTACATCGTAACTGGTTATACAAAATCATATTCATTACAATGTGTTGAAGTGGGACTTTTATGGTCCACATAAAATTGTCTGCAAATATCTCTGGTGATATATTACCATTGTCCATGCTACTCTTGAGTGGAACCAAAATTATTACATCTCCAGGGACAAATTTAAATGTTATTTTTCTGGCATGCTTCTGGTTTAATTTTTGGTTCATTGACCCTTCTCACTCTCTTAGTTCTTGGTTTACAAACATATTTTGAGAAAAACAGAGTTGAGATTGGTTTTAGTCTAATATGTCATTGAATCAGGCTCTAATATTCTTTATGTGGTCACAGGAAGCTTACTGAAACTTAAGATTTTTTTCAAAATTAGCTGAAAGAATTAATATAGCTTAAACATATTGAATCTAAAAATGATTTACCAGGCTGACAGTAACAGATTATATAATGTTTATTTTCTTTCAGTTTTGGTTCAAAATGAGATAAAAAATGGTTGACCTGAATTTTCGTTGAATTTCAAAGAGGATAGACATTTTTCCAGACTAGATCTATAACTCTCCATCAGATGGAAAGAGGTTATTTATTTTGATTCCAATTTTCCTTCTGTAATTATCCCTAAATTTGTTCTTTTGAAGAAAGTTTAAGAAGCCTAGCTATTATCACATTTACTTCTTCCTCCCCTCTCCCTCTCTTCCTTTTTTACCTCAAGTTTGAATGCTAGTGAAACCTTATCTAGTAGGCAGAATGTACAATGTACATGTCTACTTATAGGCTTTGACTAATCTTTCTTAAAAAGTAGAAGACTTTTATGATAAGAAAATTTTGGAAGACTGCTTTCTCTTTACTTTCTAGAACATGAAAAAGTCTGACTTTATAAACTGGATGTTCATGTAGTATAGATCACACAATTCAAATTCCATAAATGTTGTTTGTAAAACCCATTTTAAAAGTCAATATTGAAACTGCTCAGGATATTTTTAGGACTTTAACTTCCGAATTTTATATTTTGAAAAAATTAGATGACTTATTTTATAGCAAAACATATAGTTACTAATACTTTTTATTGCACTGATTTTTCATCTATACCAATTAAAATGGTTTGAATATATTTAATCTGTGGCCTCCTACAAAATTATCTTTACATAACTCTTACAGAATATTTTCTTCTCTCAAGATTATTTATATATAGTAGCTATGTCACACAAGTATATAACTAATTCTGTGACAACAAGCAAGCCACTTGCTTTGTTGTATTTATGCAGGTGAAATATTTGTTCCCAGAGAAAAGCATTTGAGTTTCATGCCCTTCAGAACTGGAATATGCACTTCAGTTGTGAGGATCAAATGTTTCCATTTTACCCTATATGAGAACTTAAATGTTATTTCTAATTTAAATGTATTGGGTAGGAGTACTTTAACTTACAAAAATATGTTAGCTAGTCAAAATAAGTTAAATATTTGGAAAATATTTCTCTTAGAAAATATTTTAAAGCTACTTTAATATATACTGAAGAATTTTATATCAAGTTAAGAGTCTGAATGCTCTCAGGGCACTAAATAACATACAAAGTTGACTCTTGTAAAATGTTCTATGCTGATTCATTTGGTTATAAATTCAAAGGTATTGTATGCTAAAATGTTTATAATCATTAAATATATTGAGATGAATTTAAATAGAATGTAATGACACACTGTGTCCTTCTAAAATTTCTCTTACTTTTTTCATTGCGATCAATATTTAATATCTAGTCAAAGAAAAAGAAAACGAATAGGGGGAAATCAATGTTTTCATGGTATGAGTTTTTGCTGATAATGTAAGATGGTAATGGATTGAACTTACCAGCTTATAATACAATTTTATTTTATTTTAAACATATTTTGCATGTTATAAAAATATTGATCACAGTAAGATTTACCAATTGTTATTGCTATAAAAATGAATGCAGAAACAATATTTTTAGTGGAAATAAATTATATAGTCATTATTTTTTCTTTTTTTAAAATCACAAGGGAAAAGCCTCAGCTGCTTGGTCATTGGCAGAAAACCAGTCTTTAAAATAGGCCATTTGCAGATGAGTTCCAGTTCATTTCTATAGTTATCTTATGGTGGAGGAAACACAGACTTCGGTCTTTGTTACCATGGCCCCATAGGGTCCCTCTGTTCATAGACAGTTCTACGTGGCAACAGTTTTCATGATAGGAACATGATGAACTGGAAAGTAGTACAATATTAGTTCATATGTGGTCTTTTCCAATATGAAGGGACACAGCGACATACTTCTTCACTAAATGAAAATCCTGGCTCGCAATGCTTCAGTCGATTTGTACATGGTCGTCTGTAACAACTAAGAAAATAAAGAGGAACATGTGTGTTAAAGACTGAGACAATGGCTTCATTATGCTACTTAATATTCTTTTATATTTTGCTAAATTTAAACTAGAAAAATTATTAATTTTATCATAAATGTGTTCATAGGCTTATTAAGTTTGTACTTAGACTCACAAAATTATAGAGAAACAAAAAAGCCTTTAAAAATATGTCTTGCTTGCTGATATAACAAATGAAATGGTGGTATTTTACAAGCTTTAGTTCTTTTGAAGTGTTTTCTGTTTTGTGGATGAAAGCAAAATAAAACAGAAATTTTGGAAGTGAATATTTAAGGTCTACTGATTTACTGTGATCACATAAACATGGCAGCATTTGTGAAGTCTGGGACTTGTATGGATCCCAGACTTCTAAGCAATTAAACCCAGTCATCTTGGCAGGAGTGTGGCCCTTACAGAGCAGCCCCACCCTCACTCTTGTATTTCTGCTTGGCAGCTGCGTGCGTAATGATGACTAACTCTCCTTTCTCCACCTGAGCTCTGTGTGAAACAGATCAGTCTGAGGCAAAGGAGGTAGAAATACAGCACTCATCATTGGGGGTCCCTCCCCTTCCACACTAGACTTCCAATTTCCAGTGGCAGGAAAGGGACAAATTACTAAACTTTCAATGTGTTGGTAGTTCTGTTTCTCCAGTGAATAATTGGCGGTATCTTTGAAGAACTGTTTGGAGAATGAGTATGCCTAACATGTGGAATGAGTATGGAGGGAAAAAATGCAAGACAGCTTGAGGTGAAAATCAAAAGTGCACTATAAAAAAATCTAAACATTTTCTTAAATATAAATTCACAATGATATCATGAATGTTGTTCCACTACTAAAAAGGGACACAATTCTTAATGGTCAATGAAAGTTGCCAATTAAGGCAATAGACTAAAAAATATATACTCTACTATTCACATATTATATCATATGCATATAATTAAATTTATAATGTTTTCTCTTTTGCTCCATTTAATATGAGAAGACCTGGAATTATACTCTTAGAAAAAAGAGCATACAAAGAATTGCAGCAAATCGAAAGTCTTGCAGCTAAGGGCGCAACTCAGGAGCTAGGATTGCAGCTCAGTAGTTTAGCACCTGCTCAACATACATATCTTTCTGGATGTATTAATGCATTTTTGAAATATCCTTTTGATAACTGGGGTAGGAATATGCAAGTAAAATTAGAATACAGTATATTGCTCAAAATATTTTAAAGAAGAAATATAAAGATTCCTGTAAGATCCTCTGCAACAATAAGAATCAAATCAAATATTTAATCAAAAATATAATCAATCAAAACATATAATTGATGAGGTATCTAGACTCAATGAAGTCTCTTTATACAGTAGCTAATATGACAGATCTTCAGAAATGCAAATTAAAACAAAAGCACAAAACTCCTGAGAATCAAAAGACAGATTCCACTTACTGAGAAAAAAAGTAAGGTGAATGTTAATGAGAATATTAAAGCATATATACACTTAGAGAGATAAGAGTTTTATCTGTTGAAGAGGCATTATCTACCCATAAAGAGTGATGGAGGAAGAAAATCCAGTGAAAGTGATTAAAACAAATGCTCTGAAAATTTAGTAGACAACCAGGAAAGTACAACCTTATATGAGACAAAGAAGAGATGTGATAAAAGAAAAAGGCAACAGAAAGGACATACTATATAAATACAAAATTATCCATTGGATCTGGCAGCTAAGAAGCTAAAAATAGTTTAAATGGAGCTTTAACATGGATGCTTGAGTAAATGGGAGATTGAAGAGGGGAAACCCAACACTTCATAGTGTTTAAGCAGCTTGGAAAAATGCTGATAAAATAGAAAGCAATCAGGGCAAAGGAATATAGTGCTGGAGTTACTAAGTTACTCATGTGAGAAGGTCTAACTGCTGGTGCAATGTTGAAAACAATATGGGAGAAAATGGTTTACATTACAGTTCATCCTATTTTCTAAGATTAAAGAAGAATAAATTCAAACATTAAAGTGAAAGTCATTGAGCCTAATGACCTTATTTAGTTCTTGAAAAGTGAAACAAAACCAAGGCTTAGGAAAGGAGTCTTGAGTAACATTTAACATCATATTAATTTGCCTCTAAGTTTATCAAATAGTATAAAAATTTTAATTTCTAGATAAAAATCCTGCAGTGAATGGTATCATTCCATATTTTATTTGCAATGTTTCCATTAAAAATGTTTGCACTTGGAATGATTTGTCCTAAATTACATCTAAGGGTATCAAAATTTTTGGTGGATGCAAGTGTAGACTGCCTGGGTATATTCTGAAATATATATATAAGTATACAATATAATACACAAGTCTTATAACTCATTTTTAACACCACTACCTTAGTCTATGAAGAAAGGATTTAGAGTGTATTCTGAGCTTGGATCTGGTTTTGGTCCCCAACACTGTCTTGCTTTTTTGGGAGCCCAAGTGATTTCAATGAAAGTTTAGCATTAGTTTAAAGATATCATAATTTGTCTCCCGGATTTTATTGGCCTTATTCTAACAAGCATCTGTTAGTTTGCTCTTGCTGGTGGAGTGGCTCAAGTGGTAAGAGCGCCTGCCTAGGAAACTGCTTTTTGTTGAGATCATTTTGTATTCAGGAAGAGAAATTGATGTTATTCATGAAGATTTCTTACCTGCACGTTTGATGTTGGAACTTCTTTCCTTTTAAGAAGCATTTCTGTGGATTTTCTGTACATTCACAGGCACATTTTCCAGGATTTAAGGGTTGATTTCTTGGGCAGGTTCTTTTGCATACACACTGGCATGTGTTTTCATCAAATTCTCTGTTGGGCCCGCATGAGTGGGGGAAAAGTTTGTTTTTACAGACACACTGGCATGAGTTTCTGTCTAGTTCTTTGTGGGGTCCACAGCTGGAAGGCTGAACCCCCCCTTTGCAGACACACTGACAGGTCTCTTCATCCAACTCTTTGTTGGGTCCACAGATGTCATGAAATCCATTTGTTGAGTCTAGACAAACACAGACAGGACATCTTCGTTATATCTTACTTGGTTGTGGGTGTGGTGTGAAATTATTAAGTGCACGTTAGAGGATCCCCTTTTTATGTTTTTCATTAAAGGAATGTGTATTAACATGGGCATGTTCCTTTAGAAGGAAGCTAAAAATGATATCAATATGACATCATCTCAAAGAAGGATGATCAGAATATTATATATGAGGGTATAATATTAAAATATGTACTAATTAAAATATAGCCCAGCTATAGACCAAAATATTATTCTACTTACCATCTCCAGCACTTGAGGAAAAAAGAAAATCCTGCTGAGCCAGGCATCTGCAGATGTGATTATTCCATATGTAATTTGTGGGGCAAGTCTTGTTGGCTGCCTGACACCTTTGGAGCAGACAAGTAAGGCTGAGCAATAGTGTAACTTGTACATAGGAAGGATAATTTCTTTCTCATGTTTGTATCGCAAAACAATATTTGCTTATAAAAAAACTTTAAAATATATAAGAATGGATTGATGAAACATTAATGTCCACTCTCAAGAAACACCCATTCCCACCTGCTGTCAAATTCTAATACCTGAGTTACCCGTGTTAGTGGCATAGTCTTATCTGACTCTATTATCTTTTAAATACATTTATTTGTATAACCACAGGGTTTTACCTTGTGAAAAAATGTGTAAAGCCTCTTATACTGCTCTGAAATTTCTTTTTTCCACAAAGTAGCATATTTTGGACATATTTAAATGTTATTTCACAAAGTTCTTCTCCATTATTTTTAACGGCTACAAAATATTTCAGAATAAAAAAGAATGTAGCATTTATTTTGTTAATCACTTATGAAACTAAAGTGCTTTCAATTTTGGCTTTCTTAAATAATTTTGCAGATATGGTTAACAATCATATATATGTTTACAACTTATTTCTGAAGCATAGATTCCTATACTTGTAAACCCTCTTTTAATGTCAAGTTTCTACTTTGCATTCTACCAAATAGCTACTGAAGAGCACGTTATGCTTTGTTGTTCTGACCATCTCTTTCATCTCCCCCCCCATTTTTTCTTACTTTCCCTCCTTCTTCCCTCCCTCTCTTTATCCCTTCCTTCTTTCCTTCCATCTTCCCTTACTGGTTTCATTAAAAATTAAGAATATATGGGCTGCACTCAGGCACAGGAATTACTCTATTGATGCTCCAATTGTTCCACTGTTGACTAACACGGAATCCTTCATGTTGGACTGACAGGAGTACTCTAGTTTAACAGCTTTTCTGCCCTCTGGGATGAACAGACATCACCAGCTCACCTGTTCATTATCTCCCCCATCCCCGGAACCAACATATCTTCGAGGAGTCTTATTCTTATTTTTTGGAAAACTACACTTAAAGGCTATCATTTGGAGCCAAGTGAGTCCAGCATCATGACGTTATGTTAATTCCAGACCTTTTCAAGCTAGAAAATGCCAGCACATTCCTGACTGCTTCATTAGCTAATGTCTACCCAATAGAAAGAGTCTGGGCTTTTAATATCCTAACTTACAGAGCATATATAAACTCTCATTACTTGATTTGTCAACAGATGTTGGTGTAGATGTCAAATGGAAACACTTAATTTACACTTCTCACATCTTTCATCTTAATACAGTATCACTAACAACATTTCATGGTTGAAGAAGGTTGAGTTATATTAGAAATTAGTAGAACATAAGAATCATATGTAGATATCTTAAAAAATGCACTGAGTATAAACAGCAGGTCACGTGCTTTGGATGTTCTAAGAAAAGTCCCAAAGAATTGTACTCAATGTAATGATAAGCTTGTCTTTAAAAGTAGCCTGAGGTCATTTATAGCACCATATGAAGGAGTTTTGACAAAATAAAAAGCAAATGGGCCTCTTTTTTTGTTGTTTTTGGAGACTGGATCTTGCTATGTAGCCCAGGTTAACCTAAACTCTTAAGTGCTGGAATTACAGATATGCACCACCATGTCCAGCTTGTAAATCTTCATTTTGCAGCTCTGTCTACCTTCAGTTTGAATACCATCTCTGAGGATTCGTCAAGTTTCTCCTACTCAGAGGGCTCCACAGCAGCTCCAAGACACAGAGCATCTCTGACCATTCCTTTCAATGAGGCAGTTTGCCTGAACCTGGCCCCTGTCTTTTACTCATGCAGTCACCTTTTTAAATTTCTTTTATTTATAAGTGCCTTAAGCAAATGGCAGTGACTGCTTTAAGCCCTTTACCCTCTTGACCTACTTTAAGGGTCATGTGTCCTCTAGCTTGATGAAAACGTCTATCATGGGGTATTTTCCTGAATTTACTTTAATTTTGACTTTTTTGTTGCTGTACATTATTTGCTAGGTCATGTCATAAACTACAGCTTTTCATATACCATACAAACAATCCATGTAAATGCATATGAAGCAACTGTGTTTTCTAACAATAATAATTTGCTGGATGACCAGGTAACAATATTTAAGCATTTTTAGATCCTATCAAAATACTATGATATATTGCGAGAACTTTTATACATGTCACAATGTATCCCCAGTACAAGAATAATAACAATAAGTTCAAAAAGTAGAAACAATCCAAAAAATAGTTTGTTACTTTTGTGCAGGCTTATTGCTTGTTATTTTGCAGGTAATCAGCTGTGTTTGAATCACATTTTTTTCCCATTGGAAATAATAAATATGTTTTTGGGGCAGATTATTGATTTCAAGTGCAATAACTCTGCATATATTTTTAGGAGCAAAAGAGCTCAGTTTGTTATTTTCAAACCCAACAACATTACTGGCATTTTAACTGTAAATGTTTGACTTTACACTAACAATTCCATTAAAATCTTAGCTTCTAACAATCTTCATGGAAATATTTATTTGACTTAACCTGTATATACTATATGCCTTTTTGTTTTTAATTTTAATTTTGAAACTTAGAAATATTTATATAATTACTAGAGTTAAGGCTATGAGAAAATATACAATCAGAGGTCATTCTGGTTCATAACCTCAGCAAGCTGTTAGCTTTCTGTTTTTTGGTTTACATCTTCAGTATTTATGCAGAAAATGCAGATATACATGTGTGTATATAACTTTTGTTATTTTGTTACACAGAAGATACAATCTATATATGTTATTTAAAATCTATATATGTTGTTTAAAATTCTTAGAGCATGTTACAGCTTTCTAACTTTAAAGGAAAGCATTCATTACAGGATTTTATCATTATTTTCATTATTAATGAGCATCTATTGTTACTGATATATTTAGACAGTGTTTATCAACTTTCAAAACCAGTATCAAAGGTTTTGTATCTATATAATATCCAAATTTCAGCATCTTCCTATCAAACTTGATGCAACTTATGTTTAATTATTTAATAGTATCTCAGTTAATCCTGGCTGCATGAAACTCCTGTCATTCTTCTGTAAATAATGATAAAACCCTTTGCCCATGAGGTCTTTGTGTTTAACTATGCATGGTTTATTTGACACACTACCACATTGACTTTACATGGGCACAGTGGTGGTAGCAGGAGAAAGAAAAGTTTTATTCTGCCAGTATGGAATTCATGCTATCATGCCTTAGCCATTGCCTTTCTAACCATTGGTTTCAGCCCATTAGTGCATCATGAAATAAATTACATAAGGAAGAAAACACATTTTCTAATATAATAGAATGGCACATAAATAAAATACAAACTATTACAGTATATGTGGTCACGATTGGTCTTTGTGATTTTGCTTAAATTGTATACACATAAATATGCATATGCAAATCCTGACACATCCAATCCCCTCTTCCACATGTGTGCTATATGTGTGTGTGTGTGTGTGTGTGTGTGTGTGTATGTTTGGTTGTGATGTGAAATATATTTGTTTTTAGTTGCAATCTACACATTTGACAAAACACAGATCTAAGATATTTAAATGGTAGAGTGACAAGAACCACCTTACTTGCTGGCTTCCATTATATTGGGGAATGGTTAAATATTCTACTTCAGCAGTATCTCTTTTTATGTCTGTGTTTCAGTTTAAATAAGTATAAAAATTGTCCTAAATAAGAATGAAAACAAAATAATTTTCTAACTCTCATATAGTCAGGAAAATTATAGTTTTCTCTTTAATGTTTCATAATCTTCAAAAGTATAAATTCCAAATTATGAACTTTATTGCAGAAACAAATGTAGGAGCATATTTCTGAAACTGTAATACAAAACTGCAAGATGTCTAGCATTACAGGATTAAATAATGATTTCACATAATCTGATTTCACTAGCTCTTTTGCTCTGCATGTTCATGTTGAATATAATAGAGAACTCAAAAACACTTTAAACTAATATTGTATCTGAAAGGCTTTTGGCACATACTGGGAATTGAACCCAGGGCCTTGGACATGTCAGGCTGATACTTTACCACTTGAGCCACATGCCAGCCCTTTTGTTTATATTTTATTTTTGAGATAGTGTATCCTTAGCTTTCCCCAGGCTGTCCTCAAATTCTCTACGCTCCTGCTTCATTTTTCAACTACTTGATTCTAGAACTACTACTCATCAGTATTAACACATTTTAAAGTTAAAATTTAGAATCCTGCTAGATACTATTGAATTAAAGAAACACATATTTGGATAGAATGCTCAAAGTTTCTTAGCATTTAAAACTTCTCATGTCCAAAACAGAAATACATGTGTGGGGGGGGAGGGGTGGACAAAATTTCTAAAATATTGTTATTTTAGAATGAAAAGAAACATGATGGTGGCTAACAGTTCTCACATGGTGCTTATTACTTTAATCTCTAAAGTATTTTCAGAGTTGAAATTTTTATCCAAGAGATGTTGTTAATGTATGTATACATATAAAAATTTTTACAAAGTTTCAGATCCTGTGTTTATAAAGCATATTGCCTCAAGACACATTTTGTCTACAAAGCAGAGGGTTGCACAGTTGTTGGTAGAGTAGATCTATGTTGAGAATCATGTAAGCATGATTCTCTCCCCACACAACTTGTAATTTTTATGAATAATAAAGTTACTTTTATAAGACTTATTTCATTCATTTTTTTCAAAACTTCATTCAACTTTGGATTGGTAGCTACTGTTTTTTGCTAATTAAAATCAAAGGACAAGAATTTAAGGATATACGTGTTTCTCAATGTAGAGAACAAGACCTTTAACGATAAAGTCAGTCTTATTTTGCTATTTGTCTCTCCTTTGAAATTTAAAAAAGATAAATGTGCACCAAATATGTTTTGTTAGATCATATTCTAAATGTTAGGTAATAGTTACCACTTTATACTTTGAACATTGTAGCAGGCTATTTTGTGCATGCTATTCTTAAGACTTTCATCTTCTCTATTTTTTGGCACTGTGATTTTATATACTTGGAGATTCCTTG